TGGCTGGTCGCGGCTTGTTTTTGCCTGAGCTTCGTGCGGACCTTGTTGGCACCGGCTTAAATCTTTAACACGGTCCGGCCTGGCCGCAGCGGCAGCGCTCGACGCAGGTGGGTGATGGACACTCGTATGAACCGAATGCTTTACCGAGGGTTTTACGGTAGTACTTGTGGCGGTTGTGATGGTACTTGTGGAGGTGGTTGAAGGTTTGGCATGATGAAGAGGGCGATGGGGAGGAGCGGTGGTTGCGAGGAAGGCTAAAACATACCGTACACAAAGTACACAATGATGAATAAGGCTAGCCTCTTTTCGAGGAGCTTATCTCCTTGCTTAAAATGCCCTCTCGAATTTCGCCCAACTGATTCTTTACTCCGTATCGATATTCGATTGTTGCGATGATCTTTCGATTAAGAAACCGAATCGAACCGTATCGATCGCGGATGAGCAGCTTTTTAAACAGGGTTTCCTTACGATTCTCCTTGGTAAAAGAACCTTTCGATTATCGACCATCGATCGTAACGCATTTTAAGCAAGGCCGCGTTCTTTCGTCGAGGTTCATTCTTATCGAAAAGGTGATCGAAGGGCCTCTTGGAACCGTCAAGCTCGCTCAAAATTACGTCCACCCTCGAATATCGAGATTTCGTTGCAAGTATGTCGTGTCCTGTCGTGTCGTGTCGCTTCGTCCCGAGTACAGTAATTTCGATTAAGAAACGATCGCGAACAATATTCGAGTATAGACGAAATTCGAAAAGATTGGCAAAGCTACACGAGCAAGCTGATCGTTATTAGTTTCGAGTTGTTGCAAATCGTGTGCAAATAATCTAATTTAAATGGAGTGAAGAAAAAAAATATTCAAAATTGCACCGATATAGGAGCGAATAGAAGGGTGTCCTGATTATCGAAAGGTAATCGCGAACAGGAAACACGATCTCTTCTCCGGATAGTTTAGTAATAACTAACTCAAGAATAGATCAACAATTCGATACGCGATCTTATTTAACTGTTTGACGGTTGACGAGAAACGAGAAATATATTGTTCTACGTTCGACGTTCCGTTGTACGGCGATCTAAGTAGTTGGAACGCTTTATGGTCCGCAGCTCAAAATTTATTAAGCGAAGTAATTCGCTTTAATCGGAGACATAAATAATGATCGAACTTTTTTCGCAAAAAAGAAAAAAAGAAAAAAAGAAAAAAAGAAAGAAGAAAGAAGAAAGAAGAAAAAAAAACACGTATACGAGTACGTGTTAGGATCGAATTGGGTAACATCCGATTCGGAACTGCGAACCGCAAAGTGGAAGGTAGATAGAAAAAGGTTAAGGCTGCAAATATTTAACATTGGCAAACGATAAGCGAGGGTAAAGTTAAAAATATAGTCGATATTATAAGAATAACTAGCGATCGTTCGCCAATGCAGAGTCGCGTGCAACGACGTCTCCGAATAAAAAATGGGAAGCGCAGAGCGAGGACTTTGACGCCTCGTCGGTGGGTCATTTACGTCGCGGTCCGTGCGAGGATGCATCGTTCGAAATGACCGAGTAGTTCGGGAGCGAAGGAAGACGCTAAAAGTACGAAAAAGGCTAAGAAGCGACGATAGCCAAGATATTCCTGTGTGTGGACAGGGACGCGCGAGCAAAGGACCCATCCGGTGCATCGCTCTCGAAAATAGTGGGCTTTGCCGTCGAATCTTTCGGCTTTCCTAAGTCGAACAAAGTATTGCGCGCGACTACGAGTACTTGCAGTCCTAAAAGAACAGTGACTATCGTGTTTGGTGCAGGACGACAGGGATAGAGAGATCCGAAATACGTGAGGGTATAACGGGCTAGCGGGAAGCACGGGTACGTGGCACAGAGAACGTACATTTCCGGTGGACCTGTGGGGACCTCCTGTAGAACGGAGTAGGCCCTGGGCCCGAGGGTGGTGGCGGTAATGGCGGCACGCTGGTCGACGAACCGGTCGAGGAGACCGTCGACGGTTCCCGTATGCTCCAACGCACGCGGCCAGGGCCCGTGACTGAAACACCCGCTACCACTCCTGATCGATTCGACCACGATGCGAGGGATCGCGATCGAGATCGACCTCGCGCGAGCAGCTTACAACTCAATTCTTTTCACAGTTTCTTTGTTCGTTTGCTTGCTTGCTTGCTTGTTTGTTTGTTTGTTTGTTTATTAATGAAAGAAAGCCAGATATAAAGAGATGGGAAAATGCGAAGGACGTATGTTTCAAGGATTTCTAGATATTTCTTCGGTGAGAAGAAATTCCGCCGGTGAGAAGACGAAGATGAATCGGAACGCGTTACGATTCGGGTTTGAAACGATGGATGAGCAGGAGTATGACGATGACGAGCGAGCGAACGAGCGATGCGAGATGAAAATCCTAGAATAACTCCCCGTCAAACTCATCTTTGGATACGTTGCAAGGAATAGCGAGTCGCGTCGTTGTATATACTACTCGCGGTATTACAAGGGTTTAGGATGCTTTCTGCATGGACAATATAGATATACGGGACTACTGGTTACTAGACTCGAGCTGAAAAGCCAGAGACAAAGAGATAGAGACGATTAAACAGGATTGTCATGCATCTGCCTAAACATTAACGACGAGTTTGCAGTTAACGTGTTCGACACACACCGCTCAAAGAATGTTCGGTAATCGGGCTCTTACGTTTGCTCGTGAACGAGGTTACTTAGCGAATCTATTCCGATAGAGTTACTCTTTGGAAGCGGTGAATGTCGATCGGAGCACGATTCGAACAGGGCAAGTGTAGTCGAGTATGACGAAGAAGGGGTTTGGCTTTTTGGAATCGACAAGAGCAAACAAGAGAGCGGTAAAAAAATCGCTAAAATGTAATATATCAAGAATCCTATCGAAAGTTAATTTATGCAGGAAAATGCACATGGAACTTGTGGATAGATTACGAGGCGTCGATCGATTTATGACAGGATCCGTTGTCGGTCGGTAAATCGATCGACCGTTGTCGTTACCGATACGAAGAGAAGTAACACGTTCGTGTTACAACTTACTCGGTCGTGGATGCCTTTCGGGCTCACCGCTCTTCTCCCTATGCTCTTTCTCCTTATCCTTTGGCTCCTTTTCCTTTTCCTAGGCAAAAAGCGATTTTTCTAGTGGAAAGATCAACGAAAGCGGTCAGGGAAAAATCGAGGGTTAATTACCTTGGCCTCTTTAGTGACGGATGGCGCGCGCGGCGGCTGACGTTTCGGTGACCGACGTTCCGTCACGGTAGGTCCAAGGCTCTGAGAACGACCCGTTCTTGGACTATTCTTCGGACTAGATTTTGTTTTAGGCTGAATTTCCTCACGATGCTCCTTCGTTTCTTCTCGACGTCGCGGTATCACAGGCTCCAGCTTCTCTCTCGTAGGAGAGGGAAGCAGTGCTCCGTCGCCTGTTACGAATAAATGACGTTTCCTCGTTTCCAGAGAGAGAGAGAGATAATCGAGAATAATTGAACTTACCGACACCGGTAGTACGATCCAGATGATGGCGGATCAAGAAATCTTTTCTTGCGCGAGCAATAGCTCTTTCGGTATCCTGCGAAAGGTGACGAGTTAATAAACATCGAGTAATCGAGAATAATACGCGTACGTACCGCTTTCGAATCGTCCTGCAATATGCCGTGCATCGGTCTAGCTTGTACGGAAGATGGTCGACCAGCTGGAGGCATGGTCATCGTCGCGGTAATGGGGCCGACCTTCCTCGTGTTCTCTTTCTCTTTCTCTTCCTTCGTCACTGACCTAAATATGCAATCATTCGTGTCAAACAGGATTGTCATGCATCTGCCTAAACATTAACGACGAGTTTGCAGTTAACGTGTTCGACACACACCGCTCAAAGAATGTTCGGTAATCGGGCTCTTACGTTTGCTCGTGAACGAGGTTACTTAGCGAATCTATTCCGATAGAGTTACTCTTTGGAAGCGGTGAATGTCGATCGGAGCACGATTCGAACAGGGCAAGTGTAGTCGAGTATGACGAAGAAGGGGTTTGGCTTTTTGGAATCGACAAGAGCAAACAAGAGAGCGGTAAAAAAATCGCTAAAATGTAATATATCAAGAATCCTATCGAAAGTTAATTTATGCAGGAAAATGCACATGGAACTTGTGGATAGATTACGAGGCGTCGATCGATTTATGACAGGATCCGTTGTCGGTCGGTAAATCGATCGACCGTTGTCGTTACCGATACGAAGAGAAGTAACACGTTCGTGTTACAACTTACTCGGTCGTGGATGCCTTTCGGGCTCACCGCTCTTCTCCCTATGCTCTTTCTCCTTATCCTTTGGCTCCTTTTCCTTTTCCTAGGCAAAAAGCGATTTTTCTAGTGGAAAGATCAACGAAAGCGGTCAGGGAAAAATCGAGGGTTAATTACCTTGGCCTCTTTAGTGACGGATGGCGCGCGCGGCGGCTGACGTTTCGGTGACCGACGTTCCGTCACGGTAGGTCCAAGGCTCTGAGAACGACCCGTTCTTGGACTATTCTTCGGACTAGATTTTGTTTTAGGCTGAATTTCCTCACGATGCTCCTTCGTTTCTTCTCGACGTCGCGGTATCACAGGCTCCAGCTTCTCTCTCGTAGGAGAGGGAAGCAGTGCTCCGTCGCCTGTTACGAATAAATGACGTTTCCTCGTTTCCAGAGAGAGAGAGAGATAATCGAGAATAATTGAACTTACCGACACCGGTAGTACGATCCAGATGATGGCGGATCAAGAAATCTTTTCTTGCGCGAGCAATAGCTCTTTCGGTATCCTGCGAAAGGTGACGAGTTAATAAACATCGAGTAATCGAGAATAATACGCGTACGTACCGCTTTCGAATCGTCCTGCAATATGCCGTGCATCGGTCTAGCTTGTACGGAAGATGGTCGACCAGCTGGAGGCATGGTCATCGTCGCGGTAATGGGGCCGACCTTCCTCGTGTTCTCTTTCTCTTTCTCTTCCTTCGTCACTGACCTAAATATGCAATCATTCGTGTCACGCGTGTTTCGCGAACCGGCAGCTTCGTGCGGCGACGCACACGATCGCGCGGAAGAAATAAAAGGCAGCTACGACAAAACTCGTGTGAAGGTTCGAACAATTCGTCCGCCGTAGAAAATGCGCTTCGCTCTTTTCACCTTCGAATTGAAGCTTTGACAAAGTTCGCGAGCCGCACACGCGAACAACTTGTCGACCATGTGTGCAGAAATGGTACGTGTTTGTAAAGATCTCTTTAGAAAATGTGCATCCGTGCTCGTAATGTTCTCGTTGCAAGTGGAACAAGAAGGTGACTAGTCAGACGCCGCGCGACGTACGTACGTCTACTCTGGATCAGAGCGATCCAGAATATTTGAGAAAGCTCGAAAAGATATTGAAATCTGTCGCGTGCCCGTTTACGTCGACATTCGGCGATCGAGCGAGACGGTCAATGGATTTGTGTACTGGCCTGGCAAGAGATAGCGCGTTGAGGGCATGGTTACTGGAGACTCGTTTCCACAGCGAAGCTTCGTCCTCGGCTGCCAGACCGCAACCCCAGTCGCGATGCTAATGCAAATCAGAACGGATCTTTCATTCTGTTACTATCATTCCCACACACACGCTAAGCTAAAACTCGATCTAACACACTGGGACACATGCTTTGGAAGACACGAATCTCGTGGCTGAACGTCACGACCGGAAAAAGATGCATGCATGCACGCGCGTGTTCGTTCGTGCTCGGATTACTTTCGCCTTCGATTTCGCGAAAATTTCAACAAGCAGCCGTTTAAACCGGCGGTGCTTCGCCGGTCTACGAAAGCGTGCAAATCGAATCGATCGGAAAGCAGAGAACGTTCGTTAAAACGCGTACTAGGGACGATAATCGTAGTCGAGAAGATCCGTCGAGCGAGTGTCGAGTGTCGAACGATAAAGAACGTCTCTACCCGATTATGTCGAATTACCTTGTACTCGTCAGCGAGTCGCCTAAGTTCGATGACGTCTGCGGTAGGAAACGGTTTCTCCTGTGGTTTGCTCGGCACTTTATCATCCGATATCCTTACGGTTCTACCTGACTTTTTACCCCTGAAAGAATCAATCGCGGCTGTAGGCTATACGAGCGTACGTATCTCGAGGTATACGCGACTTCACACCGATTTTCGGATCGTCGTAGATGCTTTAGTTCTTCCCTGCAGGTTCTAAGCGCGTTTATCCAGCTTGTCTCGAAAAGATCTTATCGATACAACGTCGAAAGCGTAGTTTCGTCTAAGGGAGAAGATTCGTTTTCGCGCCACGAACACGTTGCTTTCATCGTGTATTTTCGAGACAGCTTTAACGCGTGTACTAGGAATCTCTGACCTGAAAGTTATTTTCAAGTCGGGCATGTCCTCCTCGCGCTCGTCGCCCTCGGGCACCGTTCCGTCGATAGTGTCCGTTCCAGTTCCTCCGACCAGGGGCTCCAGCTCCGACGCCTGCATCCCTGAAAATTATTTCGAACGAACGATGTACTCTCGATTAATTGGAAATTACTGCGGAATCGAAGAAGGAACGTTTACCATCGCGCTTGTGATCCACGTCACCGGGTCGTTTCTTGTGCACCGGGGCAGGTCCTGTAGGGGCGATACCCTGCTTAAGAGCTCCCATGCTGAGAGACTTTCTAGGTGGTCCTGTCGTACCTGCTGGAACTCCGGCAGCTGGAACTCCCGGTGCCACTGTCTCGCCGTTAGTCAGTTGGGGACGTCTAGGCCAAGCAAACTGCAACCGATACTCCGTGCTGATCCGCGATATCGCTTTGCTCAATTGGCTAGGTGGTAGACCCGACTGCGCTGTAACTTCCTGTAACGAATCCTCTTATGAAATCGTTCGAAAGTGTCGGAACGATATCGCTACGTTTCCACGTACCCGCACTTTGTCAGCTACAACGTTCGAATCGACGGCATCGACGCCACCTCCGTCGGCCGCCGTGATAAACTCGTGCGTCTTGTACGCGAGTTCCGGGCATTTCTTCCGTCTGGGCAACGGTGGTTCCAGAGTGGGTCCTGAAAGCAATATCGTACCGCGTTAAGACGGCCGCTCCTTCCGACAACGACCACGCCACGCATTCTCGTCCGCTTTCGTTTCTCGATTCGACTTTCATTCGTCTTTCTTCTCGTCGATTTCTGATTACCGGAATGACTGCAATCGGACAAACGGTCGAGAATGTGTCCGCGCGTGCATGTTTGTCTGTTGTGCACGATCAAGAAAACGAATTTACAAACGAGCGAAGAACAAGTTTCGTTCTCGGAAAGCGACGAAATAAGCGAAAGCTGCTACATCGCGCACCGTTTACGTTTACGTTTGCGCGCGACGACGGAAGAAGCGTAAGAAAGCCTTTTAGACAATGTCCACGTTGCAGAAGCACGTTTCTTACCAACCGCAATTAGAGCCCTCTGTTTTCGCGTAGCTGGTCATGGCGCCTGGAAGAGGTCTCTTAACTCGAACGCGAACATCGTCGAAACACTGTTTAAGCGAAAAAGCGGCAATGCGGGGGGAAAGCGGGCAAGCAGAAAGGTAGCTTTTGCAAACGTTCCGCTATACTCTATAGGGTATCGAATAAAGAAAGGATTAGAGGACAGGCAATAGAGAGAGTAGAGAGTGGCGCAACTAAATCGGTCCGAGATTCATCCGATACGGTTAATAAACCGATCGTTTAATATTTAGGTCGTTTTGCTCGAAAGTTTCTACTTTCGATAAGAATTCGATGCGCCACCCTGCTCTCAGTAAATTGCTAATGAAAAATGCATAGTGAACGCGCGAGAAAGTTATTTTCGATTCGATCTCGGTTACGGACAAACCTAACCGCAATCGTATTTATCGAAAATATCGATGAAAATTATCAAAGTTGAAACGTTTCGTCGCGGATCCGCAACATCTAGAACCGTTTCTTCTTGCGAAATCGTCTCTGCGAATCGTGGCGACGGCGGCCATACTCTCGTTCTCGACGCTTATGCTTCGCGTTCAATTAAGGTCAACGGAAATCGGATTCGAGGAGTGTGTATCGTTAAGCGGGCTAAAGTTGAACGACGAGGTCAAGTTGTCTATGAAAAGTTAGCGGTTATCGCGTCGCGCTACGCCGGTTAGTCCGCGAGAATTCGTTGTTTCTTTTAGCTAGATCATTTCGTTTTTAGAACGACTGGATCGTCGCGTCGCGTCGCGTCGCGTCGGTGGACGGTGCGAGAGCGAAAGATCGATGCGGTCTACACACGCGCCTCTATCGTTGCGATGTCAATGGGATTAGTGTATTTATGCGCGAGTACGTGTAACGACGCGTGAAATATTCCTTCGATTACGTAAGCTTCGTTGAAATTTTAACGCGTAAATTACAACGTCGCCATAGTCTTCCCATAGTCGGTACAGACGCCCACAGACGCCCATAGACGCACACGGTGTGGCATGTAAAATGTACTTTGTACGTTTCTATAGACTACATGTATGTATGTATGTAGACGCACGCGCGTCTATACGTACGCATGCGTCTCGAGAAAGAATGCGAATTATTCCGATTGCTGGTTGCTCGTCGAAACGATAATAAACGAAAATAAAAGCGGATTAAAGTTATTACTGTGTAGACGGGTGTATTAAGCGATTTTTAAGTAGATAGTTTCAAATGCGATATTACCTCTTCCCATCTTGCTTATCGTTCATAATAAGCGGTGAAAGTGGAGTAGAAACGAGAGTAAAGCGTGGCGATTAAAGTCGATAGTGGATTAAATCGTTTAAAGCGCAAGCCCGGAACGAGGTGAAAAAG